GTCGATACTTGTTTCATTCAATTAATCCACGTAGTCTTTGAAGAATATCACGCCAACCTTCATTTGTTCTTGCCTAAAATACCATTACGTGACGCGTCTGGTCGTGATTTTCCTTCTGCAGACGAACCTAGTTAATACATTGCATACCATTGCAGTCACCGTCGTACTGCAGGCCTTACTGGTTCACAGCTGGTCCCGGGTGTGCAGAAGTTACTTAGTCTAAGGGCGAACAGCCAGCACACGTACGGCAGGGCGTGTGGAGTAAGAACGAATGGAGTGTTGGCCATCAAAGATTAAAAGCATAGTCTAACGACATGCCTTAGTAACTTGGAGAGGCTTGGGCTCCTTCATCCAAATGTGCCTTTCTTTTCGTGCCAGCCGACTCCAACGGCAATTTTTAATGTTGATAAATCAATGGCAGGTATTTAAATTAGGAAAATACTGCATCAAGTAATATAAAAGAAGACAGAATCTCATTCCTTATATCCCAAGGGAACGATGCTTCTGATACTGTTCGATCACCCCAAAACGATGGCATAGATATCTCCCTCAGTACCAAATTAAGACTACTAGCCCCCAGCCCTGAAAATGTTTTTCTTTAGCCCCGAGACAGTTAACGATAAATGCGCGAGTAAACTCAACCACCCATGCATCAGCTATCTTGGGAAGATGTTAAGGATGGCCGAATTGAACGGTCACGGGAGAAGGTGGGTCTGTCTTCAATGGCGCAGTCATGCGAAAAAGGCTTCTGTTGATATTGCAGTAACATAGTCAGAAATATTCGTCAAAATTCACTGAAATATCTTACGAAGAATCGATTGTCCTGAGAATCTTGCACAGAATCGACCTAAATGCTAATCCGTCGGTTAAGCAGCAGTAGGGAGTTTTTGTCATCAGTCAGTTACAGAAAGCCAAGGCAAAAAGGCCGACCGATAACGTCGGTACGTTGGGAACTGCTACGCTGAATTTCGATCATGTCTGGCGTGCATACACCATTGGCATACTTTCAAGACCTATAGGCCTCCTCCTTTCTCCCTGTTCACTTCGATGCAACACCTACATCACTAAAGACGATGCCGTAATCCAGTCATTTCTTGTCGCAAACATCCGAATTCACCCCAGTATGAGAGCCGTCTGGAGACGGGACGAACGTCGACGTGTCCTAATTGTCACCACATTTATCAGTCACGCATTATCCTTGTGGGACATATACGTTCTCTCTCACTCAGTCCCACACTTTCATGTGTCGGGTTCGTGCTCGAAAGGCAAAGCAGCACCCCTTACTCACGAC